TATTAAAACCCCCCTTTCCCCCCCCTTTTTTTTGAAACCCCCGTTTAACTTTTTTTTTTTTTTTTTTTTTTTGTGTGTATGTGTGATTGTGTTTGGCCTCCCTCTGCGGTTAAGTGGCTGCACCCAGGTTGAAAATTGACGTGGAGCCTCGATTTAGAGATAGAAAACAGCAACTGAAGTGCAAAGCGGTGGCCTTTGCCCCCCTGCTGTTTAGCTTTATGAGCAGTTAACTCCCGCTGGCTTTTATTGAGCTGAGAACTATCCTCTGCAAGAGATGACATAAACGCCCACCATGAGCTTTATCTGCAACTCATGCAGTCGGGGAGGATTGTATTGAATCTATTAATACATTTTGCTGTAATGCAGTCAGAAAAACGTTGAGAGTGAACTCTTGTTTGTTACGGTTTCAAACTATTTTTACGTTTAAATCTTAGCGCGTTCTTTAATAAACAGTTCATACAGGTGCTTGGAATCCTTTAGTTCCATTTTTGGTGTTTTCAATGTTTGGAAAGTGTTTGATTTTTGCGTTAAGTGCTTGATATTCAAACTGCACAGATGTGTAATAAAGAGTAATCTAATGTTTAATCTGGAGAGCATTAATTACAGTTGAAACCACATATTTTCATGCATCCATAAAAAGAAAACAATCTTGCTGTGTGAAGTTAAATCAAACGATACTTTTCAAGTTTTCGGTCAGGAACAAATTACCTACATTTTCTTTATTTGCTAAATGCCAGAAAATGTAGCAAGAACATTTTGTTTGAGATTTTTTCTTGTATATTTTTAATGTTAAACAATATTATTAAAATTTGCAGATTTTATATTTTATTTTATTGTTTTGTTAAATCAGTGTTTTGGTCTGGAACCAGTCGAGTGTGCAGGGCACAGGAGTGAGCATTTATCATATCATTTATATTTATTATGATAAATTTCTTATTATGATAAGAATCTTGATTTATTGTTATCACAATAAATTCCAATTATTGACATTTAAAAAACCCCAACGCTGACTTTATTGCCAGGATTGATACCTTTATTATCTCCTCCACAGTTTGTTCAGTGGAAACATCAATACATTTTCAAATACAGTTACCATGTGCATTTCAGTGATACAAGTCACACACTTCTTTCTGTGACTGAAGTTTTAAAGAAGCATATAGCAAACAGGAATGTTTTTAAAGATCTGAGTTTGTGCTTGTGGGACTCTTTTTGCTGTGACACACATTCATAGTCAACTGAATTGTTTTTATCTCCAACGTGTGATGCTGGAAAAGTTTGAAAACTTACCTTGAAAATGCTTGAAAAGTTCTTGAATTTTTATCTGGAAGGGGAAGATATACAAACTCTGCTGATTTCTGCTTCTGTTGTGTCTGTTCAGATGTGAACAAATCAAAGTTTCTGTCTGCCATTTGTGCCCGCAGGGCGAAAAGTCGTGCTACCAAAGCTGAAACCGTCCTCCCACCAGCCTCTGGTGGCTGGTGTTCACAATGTTGGCCAGCAGAGGGAGCTGCAGAGACTTCCTCAGCCAAACGCGAACCACCAGAGCAGGCGGCACCCGGGGAGGAGAAAAGCTGACGTAATGAAGGTGCTTGATGTATTTATTGAGCCAGTTATTTACATTCAAAACATCTGTCTTTGTCACGGTCAGTAGCTATTGATTTGTTGAAAATGCGTCTCATCCCGACCAGATGAGAGACGCAGGTTTCCGGCAGCCGACAGTTTCCTCTCAGCTCCGAGTCAGTCAGCTGCCTCAGCGGGAGAAGTCTGTTCCCTGGATGCCAACGTCGCCCCACTCTCCTCCTCAACAGCAGTAAATCTTTATGAAAATGATAAAAAAAAAAAAAAAACTGTAACTCTGCGAAATTGATAACATGTTCAATTTTAAGGTAACAGGTATCAGGAAAAAAAAAAACTTAAAGTAAGAATATGTAGTTGGAAAAATGATAAAAGCCTATTTTCCTATAGAATACTTTTCTATCTCTTCATCAGTGGGAATAGAAAACAAAAACAATTTTGTTTTGTTTTTAAAACAACATTTAAAATGCATAAATAAAAGGTGACAAAAACAAACAATTTCTTTTTTTTAAATTAAGGAAAAAAAACATTCTTGGCTAAATTTCAAGAAAATATAATGATAATATTTTTGGATTAACTGTTTAATAATAATTGGATAGCAAAAGATGCTTAATATGAGATTTTTTTGTTTTTCCGACAATTTGAACCAGGTAAAACTAAAATGATCCCACTTGAGGAATTCTGGGTAGAAACAGACAAAGAAGTGTTTATTTTAAGTATTACACTACGATTATTTCAGTGATGCATTAATCATGATTAATCATGATTAACTTGATTAATCGTTTCAGCCCAACATCACACTATGAAATCAAGTGAAAATAAATCAAAACCTTTCCAGGATAGTTTCATCTGATTGTCTGGCAGGATTATTTCTCTTATTTACATCTGTCTTTGCTCCTACCTGTGCCTTTTAATCCCGTGCTGACTTCCCAACAGAGCGCCTCAGAGGTGGAGGCCTGAGCCCCGCTGCCTCTTCTCCCCGGTGAAGCCCCTGCTGAGCCCTTCGGGGGAGCAGCAGGCGGGACGTCAGTCAGAAGCCGAGCGAAGAGTGAGCGCCGCCACGCAGCGAGCAGCTCCGAAAGAAGCAACAAGGCGAGAATCACCTCTTTTTTTTCCTGTTTCTTTTTACATCTTTCACTTTGCAACTTGCTTCAGAGTGAATCAGTGCCGTTTCCCAGATTAGTCATTTTGTGATTTTTTTTTTTTTCCGTTCATTTCAGCTTCATTCCATAAAAGGTCTGACCCTGCAAGAAGAGAAAAATGGAGTGGAAATTAATTTTAATGAGCCCCTTACTCGGTATTCACTGAGTCATTTCTAACCTTCATGCCAGACCCCACTTGCTGCAAAGCCACAGGCAACACTCTGATTACGATTCAAGTTATTATTATTTTTTGCCTATAAATTAATCTAGACACAATTGAGGCCATTCCTCTTTTTGAGTGATTAGTGATCGGTGCGTTTCCGGTGCTTATAAGCGTCGCATTGATTGAGTATTGCACATATGCGCTCTTTTAATCAACTGTTAATTACTACAGTTGTGGTTTCCTATTAATCAGCAGCTAGCAGTCTGGTTTTAGGTATGAGGATTATAAGTTATGCATGTGAAAGGCTTAATCAAACTTCTGTTAGGCGTCATGTAAAAATCGCTGGCTTTTATTTTATTTTTTACAGGACGTCTTATCAAGAGGAGATGACTACGCAGCTCAGTGAGGAAGAGGCGCCACGCATTCAGAGATTAAGGTATGAACACATACGCACAAAGTATTCATGACTTTCAAATTCAACACACATAACAAAACAGGTTGAGGTTTGAGAGGATAATCACTTGACGGTAATTGTAAATATAATATGTAAACGCAATAATTAAAGTAATAACAATATAATAGTTTTTTTTTTTCAATCTCTTGTAAACATTCACCATTGTATTAATTAAGAAAGAAATAATTATCTCACATCACTCGGGAACAATCCTGCTGCTAAATCTCTGTGCTGGTGCCAGTCCGTGGCAGGAATCCACACAGCAATCAGCCAGAGCAACTCAAAGAAACTAATCAGCGCAATCATATGTGCGGCTACAACGGGAGTTATGCTGGCGGTGAAACTATCCCCCAGACAAAAGATTAGAAATTAAAGTAAGCTGTCGATGTGGCAAGTACAAGGGAAAGCAGAGTTTTTAGCCTTGTTGACCAATAAAGATTTCCTAATTAGTCACTTGCGAGTTTGACGATGCAAGAGCCGAGAACAAGGTTCAGCCAGCGCTTTGTCCAAACAGCGTTAATTGTCATCGTAGTGAATTTTCTTCTTTCTTCACAGCTAAATTAGTGATTTCACCAAAGGAAACGTCGATATCACTTAAACTCAACTCAACAGTTTAAAGCTGCTGGTTTTGTGCTTAAAAACCTGCTGCATGCAAATGTTTCATATTCTAGCCGATGTCCCATCACCATTTTCTCAGTCAATTACAATTTCTCTTTAAAAGCTCCTTTTTTTGTTGTTTATTTTGTCATAAACATGTAATGTGAATCACATTGTAAATTATTCTTTTTTGTACTACAAGCTCTTAGTTACTGCTCTGTGTTGGATAATTAAATTGGTGATAAGCAGCCTTTCTGTAGTAAACAAAGATTAAATGTTTATTTTAGGACTGGAGGCATTGTCGCAAAATGTGCCAGAGAGAGAGGAAGACAGAGAGAAGTTGTTACATAGCTCTGCTGTTCAACTGACATTTTAAGCTCGTGCATATTAAAAAAGTCTTAAATTTATGCAGCTAAAATTAAAGGCTTAAAATGTAATTTTAAATGCAATTCATCCACTACAGAGCAGCTTGTGACGTAGGATTGTTTTGGTTCACAGGTCTGAAGACGTTTTCCAGAACCAGTGGACTGAGGGAGCTGAGCACGGCGCCAGAGAGGGCAGCCAGCAACTCTCTGGTGAAACACAGGTGGAGAGGATTTTATCCATTACCTCAGTGGTGTCAAACATTTCCAGTCATTCTGTTACATGTGCATGTTTTGAAGACATTTACCTTCTTATCCTCCAGAGTATATAGTGATCCTGTTTGTTTGGGGTTTTTTAGCTGGAAGGTGTGGCCAAGAACAAGCCTGACAGATCTAGGAGGATACGGCTCCCTGAGCACGCTGATGAGATGGTACGTTATTCAGAGCTGAATATTAGGTCTGTCGCAATAAATCAATTAATCGCATGATGAATTAAAATGAGCTCGATTCTTGTTTGGATGATTTATTGTTTTTCTCTCTTTCTACAAAAAACTTGATGACAAAATTCTTTAGTCTGTCGCTTTCGTCTCAACTAGCTTTTTTTTTTTAAGAACAATTTAGTTTTACAGAGACTTAATAATTCACTTTATTTGCTATTTCTGTTGTATTGTTTATTTAATTTGGATATTTAAAATGTTTTTCAGTTCCCGTGTTAAATGTAAAGTTTATTGATCTTTGAGAATGTGTTCTTGAGTTACTATGCCATGAAACTGGTCTCAGAACAACAGCATTGTCGTTTATCGCGATAACTTCAAGGACAATTTATCGTCCAGCAAAATTTGTTATCGTGACAGACCTTCTGAATATTCTTTTCTGGTTATCAGTCAGTATCGCATCAAAAACAACAGGAACTCATGATAGCATCTCACCAGCTTTTTGTCACCTTGCTGTAAATTGTGGTTTATAGGCAGCAGGCGATCACGTGCGACTCGCTGGGCATCAGGAAGAAGATCTGTTAAAGGACACCGCTCCCGATGCGTGGGCCGTAAACACGGGCATGGGGGACATGACCTGGCGTGGGCTGCAGGCCTCCACCCTGGAGAGCATGCTGCTTCGGATGGAGGAAATACAGGTGAGAGTTGCCCTGCAGGGGGATGGAGGGGGGGAGCCAGTTAAAGGTCACGGTGCAACCTCAAAGGTTACCTGTAATCGGCTTGTTATTTATAGTGAGCTGTTGTGACAGTTGGAGTCTGCTGCTGCTTACTGATTTGCTGTCTAGAGGTCGGCTATCAGCATATTAGACTATGGATCCAGGATTCGGCTGTTATTTTGAAAACACTGCAAGTGAAATTTGTATTAACCTTTATTTATGGTTTATTTGGTACTTAATGAACCATAAAGTCGTTTATGGTTCATTCCCCTTAAAGCTGATATTTGAGATTTCTCCTTAAAGCTGCATTATGTAACTTTTATAAAAATATGTTGTTTATTTTCCATATTTGTTAAAGGTATGATTATGTCCTGACAAAATAATATGTGTCCTACTCCACCACTTGGTCAGAAACAGCCAATCAGAGCCAGGAGGAGTGTCTTAGCGCTGTCAATCAACTTAGTGTACACGCTTCTCACACCTCCCCCCTTGCTCCATGCTAGGCGACAGCTAGTTCCCTACATTTGAGCCTGTCGTGTCTTCTCAGGCTAGTTAGCATAGCCACCTATGACGGCGGATAAACAATTGTCCTGTAATCACAAGTTCCTTTTCCGCCATTTGTACTTTGAGCTGCGTGTAATCAGGCATGACTGACAGCACCAAGACCCTTCTCCTGCCTCTGATTGGTTGTTTGTGATTGGGAGCGGTGTATTTCTGCAGATGGCAGTGGGACCACAGGGCGGAGGCACAGAATTTTGATTGGCTGTCTTAGGTTATACTGTCGTGACTTAATGAATATTTGAATAAATATGTTAAAAATATATTTTTTTATAAAGTCGCTTTGCAGCTTTAAGGATAAGAAAAAGAAAGTGTAACTGTAATGACATACAAACTGCAATGACTGATTATTTTTGATTACTTAGAGAACCTAAAAACCCTTAACATTTAGCGTTTAAAGCTTCATTTGTTATGTGTTTGTTCAGAGAGAAGAAGAAGAAGTGAGGAGGCGGTTCGCATCCATAGCCTATTCAGACCCTCTTTACTGGGACCGCTCAAGAACAACAGGTAAGAGGAACAAAAGAGACCCAACAAAAGTACTCCATTTATATTTATCTGTACAGGGAAAAACACTGATACCTCTTCATCACATTAAGAACACAATCTTCTATTTAGTTTATCGGGATTTTCTGAGACAGACCAACAAAAAGAAGTGTACATTTTTTAAATTGAAGGAGAATTTTGTTGCAAAAAAAAAAAAAAAAAAAAAAAAAATTCACAGAGAAACTCCTCCCCCCACC